CTAATTAATACAATTGTGTATTCTTTTCCTAAGACTAGCAAGATCAAATACAAATTTGTATCACAGCATTATGAACTTCATGAAAAACCTCAAGTTTTCTTCATGAAAAAACTGCCAATTTTCTTTTCTTTTTGTGTATATGAGTGTTTGCCTGCATGTGTGTGTGTGTCCATGTGTGAAGAGGTCAGAGGTTAATATTAGATTGTTGGGAGCCGACTCCTAGCAGAAAGCGGCTATCATCTTTGCAGCCATTTCAAGCCATATACCCTGACAAGAGACTTGTTTTTCAACAGCCCACAACAGCTGAGCACACTCTGATAAACATCTTGTTTTTCTCACATATCTTTTTTTGCTGTTTAGTGCCCCAAGCTGCAAGGTGCACGTGGTATCCACGCTGCAAGGCATGTGACATAGTGCCTTCAGCTGTGTTCCCCTGCTTGTCCACGAGGGCAAGGCACATGGTAAAGGGTATAAATACCCAAGATTTCCTTTCAATAGAGGAGACTTGATCAGACTCTGTCTTGTCTCCATTCTTTGCATCTCTTGCCCCTCCATCCCCACTCTCTCTCTTGCTAGACCCTGACCCATGGACCGGAGTAACAGAACGGGCCGAGATAGAGTGGCCACCAAACGTGGAATGTTCGGGATGTTACATTAGATGTCTTCCTCTATTGCTTCCTTTACTTTTTTTTTTACTTTATTTTATTTATTTATTGATTTATGTATTGTTTCCTTTACATTTTTTTTACTTTTTAAATTTTATTTATTCATTTATTTATTTATTTATTTATTGCTTCCTTTACTTTTTGAGACAGGGTCTCTCTCTGAACCCAGTACTTGACAGTCCAGCAAGGCTGACTGACTTCGGGGATCTGTCTATCTCTATGCAGTGTCATGCTAGTCAGTCTGCTGCCCCTGCTTTTAACTTTTAAGTGGGATTGAACTCAGCTTCTTATGCTTATAAAGCAAGCACTTGACAAAATGAACCATCTTCCTAACTCCAGGGTAGCCTATTTTAGCCCTGACTGCAATGGATAATTTTTTTTTTAACAATCATCTCCTGTGTATGGAGATCAGAAGACATTGGTTCTCTTATTTCACTATGTAGGTGTCAGGAATTAACTCACTCCCCCATCCATCCATCAACTGCAGGGATCTTTATAACGCACTGTGTGAAAATGTGTCTCTGTCCTTCCTTGCCTGGCTAAGGCTGCTTCTGATTGGGTAAAATAAAAAGCATATGGCCTATAGCAAAAGGCAAGGTGGGACAACGAGAATCAGGAACTCTGAGAGTCAGATGTGGGAGACTTGGATTTGGAGGAAGTCAGACTTATGAAACTGAGGAGACGTAACCAGCCATGTGGTAGAACTTAGATTAGTATAGACAGGATAAGTGAGTTACAAGCTGGCTGGGAACAAGCCTAGCTTAAGACCTGGGCATTAAATAGTTCATAAATAAATAAGTTTCCAGGGCTGGGAGATGGCTCAGTGGTTAAGAGTACTGACTGTTCTTCCAGAGGTCCTGAGGTCAATTCCCTGCAACCACATGGTGGCTCACAACTATCTGTAATGGGATCTGATGCCCTCTTCTGGTTTGTCTCAAGACAGCTACTGTATACTCACATATATCGAATAAATTTTTTTAAAAATTTTAAAAATAAATAAATAAATAAATAAATAAGCTTCCTTGTCATCATTTGGGAACTGGGGTGAACATAGAAAAAGCTCC